GAAATAGCGTTTAACAAAAGTTCTAAAACCGGATACTTCACTATCCGCTGACGACGACGAATAAAGGGGGATAGATTGGATATACGTAGATGACCCATAGCCCTCATATGGAGTCCAAGCCCAACTCTTTCGGTGAACTTTCGATGGAGGTTGGGATTTCAGGCAGTGCCGACCGCGACAGCGTTCATGAAAGTACAGTTCTGCTTCGCTGTGGCTAATTTCAGTGGCCAACAATTTCTCGGCCAGGACTGGGACTTTTTTGTAAATGTAGGATAAACGTTCACCCAGTTTGCTTAAATTGCTTGAGTTACCGGCGCCGCTGACCTGGACAGACTTAGGGGCCATTTGTTTGATAGTTCCAGCTGAGGTTGATGTTATTGTAGGTATTCAGTGGGTGCTCAGCAGGCACCCAGCACTGCTGTCATAGGAAATGCTTGGCAACCCATAAACACAGAACCCGGGGAACCAAAAAGCAAGCATGATGGAGAAATGCGGCGCAGATGTGTATGCACGGAACAATAGGCTTTGAGAGAGGCGCAATGGTAGAAAAAGATAATGGGTAGGCGTTCAGTTAACCGCAGGCTTCGAAGGATGCTGGTCAAGTGGGGTTGGCATTATTAGAATTTACTATCAGAGATGACATATATGGTAGATGGAATTTTCGCGTAACCTTACTCAGTCTGTCACGGGTGTATTGATTTATATTTTACTGGCAATTTTAGGGGCAGTAATAAACCGCCCTACCTGATTGATCGCGCCGAAATAAAAGTAAGCAAGGCGGTGATTTCGTCTAGGCTCGCACAGTTAGGCTTTGAAATATCAGTGAAATCGCTCCACTTGGACGCAACCAAGCGGTACCACTGACGAATAATGAAGATTCACATTATAGCGGGTGGCTTTACGTGCGACAATCGCCCTAACTACCGTTTCAGCGAAAAAAAACAGAAGATAATAATATTTGTTCTGGGCTGACGAATTGCACACCATGGGGCACGCTAAGAGCAGTAATCTGAAACATGTCGGCAGACACCAGTTGTTGATGTTTGCAAGCGACATGTCGGCACGCGACGTGCAAAAGTTGGCAAATAAAACCATGGAAGTCCATCACTCCTCTGGGTCCGACAGACACCGTAACGTAGTTGGGCATTCCCTCTACTTCCAAGGGGAAAGGGGTCTTCAACCACCGAGAGCACTTGCTCAAACTCCTCGAAGAAGTGACGCGTGCCCCGTTGAAGCCGCATCGGAGAATGGAGATCACGAGGAACTACCTGATACCGAGGCTGACCTATTCTCTCGTGCTCGGTCAAGTTCGCCGGAACACCTTCAAAAGATTGGACAACTATATCAGGCAATATATTCGTGGCTGGCTACGTCTACCGAAGGACACCCCGATCAGCAACATCCAGGCCGATAAACAATATGGGGACTTGGTATCCCAAGTCTGAGTGCAACAATCCCGATGCAGCGGAAAACGCGTATGGAAAGGCTCTTTTCTACTCAGTGCCGAGTACTACGCAATGTGGTCAACGATTCCGCATTTGGCGAAATTGTTCGGGATCTCAGCCTTCCGATCCGAGTCCATGGAGCATGCGTAAACACCAAGGAGGAGCTGGTGGCTGCTTGGGGTGAAAGTCTGCACAACAGCGCTGACGGTCGCGGTTTACGAGAGTTGGTCGCTTCGGCGCCCTCGAATCGATGGCTCGTACTTCCAGAACAGTGTTTGTGTTTCCTCGGATGTTTATTCGCGGTATCCAGCTCCGATACAACCCGCTCAGGACGAGAGTTATAAGTGCTTGGCATGGTAATGGTGGCCAGACGATCTTGTCGTGGAAACTGTGGCCAACCGGAGAGTTTGGTGCATAGTTCGAAGTCCTGATGCATCACACATGACTCCAGATATTCTCACTGGGTTGCAACGGAACTCGCAAAACGTCTTCGTCGACTTGGATACACCGTCTTCGAGGAGTTGAGAGCACCTACTTTGACGTCCTTCATCGAACCTAACCTAATCGCTGTCCGAGCTCGCCGAGTAACATCAACAGCATTCGACGTCGGCATGTTCTCGGATGGGCGCGGAGTGACTCTGTGGAATGAGAAGAAGCAGGAGTATGGTGCTTATGAACATTCTCTCTCTCCATAATCTCGGCCCTGTATGCAATCTGTTATGATGTCGACTTTTAGCCCACCAATCGATGACTATATCTTATCGAAGGATCTGCTTCCCTCAATCCGCGAAGGTTGCTATTGAACTGGGACCCCCTAAGGTCTCAGTCAGTGACTTGTATTCGCTTGCCGTTGTAAGCCCTTTGTACTTATGACACTTTTCTGCGTGGCACATAGCGTTGAATGTACATTTTTGCCATTTAATCTCACACCAGACCCCGTATGACGGACACTTTGTGCCCGATGTGCGAGTCTTGATTGTGTTAATGCTTACCGTGCCTTGAAGCACTGTTTGCCCTTTCTTTGGTTGTTGGTCTTTACACGCGTGTTTCCATATCAAAATTTTTACATACGCTGGGATTCACCTCATCCGACTGGAATTGTTGATGAAATGAATTCGAATGAGATGTTTCTCTATTTTCTCCCATATTCTCCTGTTGTCCTTTTGCATTCGTCGCTCACATTCACTTCTTATGTTTGTGACCGTGCTCTTTGAAAATAAATGCTAATAATATTTTGGTGCCTCTTTTGCTCTGTTAGTATGTGAACCCAATTGAATCCTTGATCTCTGTTAAAATCGAGTGAAAGTTGATCTGGTGGCGGGGCCATTTGGCCGAGAAATGCTCTTAGCTGCAGCTTGGTTTTTGTGCATTCTAGTAGGCCGCTTCCGCTCTGCCAGTCACATTTGTTGGAATAGTCGAATTAAATTTAATACACAGCGTTATTTTACTTCGTGATTTTTAGTCCCATTTAGGCTTTGACAGTGCTGTCCAAAGTGTGTCTGTAATGCATGTACTGATTTTATCGCAGTGTTTTTGTGGTAAAGTTTCAGCTTTATGCACTTGCTTCAAAATTTTAACCTCTTTTACGGAATATTGATGGGAAAGTGATCAAGTACTTATACTCGCGGAGTGCCTACAGGCTCGGGGATAGCGGGTCCATAACTCTGAAGTTCTTTGGATTTAAACGTTTGTTCCCTGCACGAACAACATACCTGCGCAGTGCTTCCTGGCCTATCTGCCTGGTTTGGTGACGTGGAAATATTCGGGAATCTTTATTATAGACATATTTCTAAAAGTGACTTTTGTAAGCCGTGTGCCTCAGTTCGCTTGAAAAGTGTCGGCGTGTAGATTCGTACCAATTTGAGGGGTTACTACAGTCTCCTAGGATTAGGTCCCTGTGAGTTTTTTCCTGTAAAGCTCTGTTTGTCCATTTGCTGGTCCGGCGGTGAGCACGTCCATAACCGTTTTTCATCGTTTTCCACCGTCAATTTCACGTCATCAGGCTTCACACTAGTTGAAGCTAACGGAGTCAGCCGCGCATCAGATTCATTTTTGCAGGTTTATATCCCAAGACACAAGCCATCCAGTTTTGCCTTTGACAGTGGAGATCAGCTGCCTTCCTGCTGGAAATATGTAGCACACAGGCTGCTTACCTTATGACAAACGATTTGTTTTGTTTTGATTAAAGCGTCACGGATTCACGGATTCACGGATTGATACACGTGTTTTTGTTTTATGGATTTTGCAGTTCGCCCCCTGGTCTTTGACGTCTATTTCCTAACTTGTGTCCCCGCTAATTTTGCAGAATCTGTGGGCGAGTTTCAACCAGTCACACAACGGAAAACTAAAAGTATCCAAACGAAACAAGATACCATAAAAACCCCAGCACGAGTCTGATTATGCGCTCCTTGGCCGGCAGACGATCTTGCTCCGAAACTTTTTGTGTTGAAGTGAAATTTTTGGATAAACGTGTTGTATTTTGCGGACGCCGCTATGATCCGCCTTAATTCCATTTGAAATGTTTTATGTACTCGCCGATCTTAGTTTTGGTGAACATTCAAATATGAACTTGCAGTGCTACGACTCAAAATGGCGATGACGCATCTAGTGGCGTGATGCCCACTCTAAGTGTCTTTAGTTGCAATACCGCTAGGATTCAAAAATGGATGCCGGGTTGAATGATTGACCCTTGTGAGCCCAGTTGTTTATCACATTGGGGTGGTGTGTGAGGAAAAGTTACATCGAGAACAACTTGTCTGGTGTAACTGCTGCAGGCAATTTCTCATTTGGTGCAATTTGGCATAACCCACTTTTGATCTACGTCGTCACCCATCTTGGTTCTAAACATCAGTATTTGACAAACGGACAGTGATTTGTAGGTGCTATCCTACCAATAAAAAGTGAGTATTCTGAACGACGCAAACTTGGGGGTTATTGCCCAGGTTTTAACTGGTTTCAATCCCCATCGTGAACGGCATGTGAATTGTTCGTTAGATGATAGACACCAAGTGAATACGTGTAGGTAGATCGGCTACCCGGGATACACACTTCCAAAGCATTCCAACGTGTGATTTGGGTTTGCCCGTACACAGCCCATATTATTTCATGTTCATTTCTATCAACGACCGCCCTAGCTCTGGTTTATAATAACGGAACTATCGGTGCCAACGTGTGTTTGGGTTTGCCCGTACACAGCCCATATTATTTCATGTTCATTTCTATCAACGACCGCCCTAGCTCTGGTTTATAATAACCGAACTATTGGTGCACCATTCACAGCCGATGGATCAACGATGGTATCAGTGATTATGCCGAGGCTGGTCATCAATTTTCCATTTCTGGTAGTTTACCCTTTGAAGCAAAGTACTGGAAAGGTCTACCAATCATCTGGACACCCAGAAGAATGTAGGTAATCGTTGAGGTATTTGGTAACAATGCCTGCTTCGCTTGTTTATTTATCTCAGGATTGTTGGTTTGGAACTTTGTAACTCAGTTCTCGCTGGAAAAAATTCTCTCTGGTTGTCGTTGGTGATTCTACATGTTTTATGTAAGTACTAACCGACGAAATATCAAGTCTAAGGTGCGCCTCTGTCCTAGAAAATTCGGCTTGAATGAATTTATTTTTTATGAGTGCTGTAGTGGTCTGGCTACCCAATAAGTTAGTTTACCAGAAGTGTGTGGCAAATAAATAAAAATAACAACGCTAGGTTGGGTATACGAAAATAAAGAGGTCAGATAGAACAGACTCACTAACAATTATTCTTTTTAAAACAGTTCGTCGTTGGCTCAGGTCAGCGAATAAACAATGATCCGGTTATGTTGGTCCAGAGGTCCTCTTCTGAACAGTTCCCCCATATAATAGATTCCGAAGATGGTCCCAAATGTCTCGGTACCGGAGTTAGTACGTGAGACTCGCGAATGACCGCTACAAGCACGAGCGAAATCAGAAGAGAGAGTCGAAGCACGTAACAACGCTTGTATTCTGTCAAATTGTACAAGTGGGCTGTTGATTCCCCCTGTGAATCAACGGTGAACAAGGGTAACTTTCCTTGTTTTCTGACTACTCACGAGTAACATGATTTACACCTGTTTATTATGACACCGTTTCGTTTTCTTGCTGCTCGTTTTCCCCCGGCTTTGTTCTTACTTAAGGTCTGCTTATCCCTCAGTAAGTGATGTCAATGTTTGTTGCCCGTCTGTCATTGCCTGTGAGTTCGCCTCGATTGCACCTATTTCTTGAGCGCCCACTCCGACGGAAAAGCGAGACCGTGTATCGAACCCGGACCCTCCGGACGGCAAGCAAACGCGCTACCAACTTCCCCGACCTGACGTCCAGGACGGCTGGTTATTTTGTATTACACATGTATCACGCCTGCCAGATAACCCCTGCTGAGCTTTGTTTTAAACGGACGAAACCGCATAATCTGACCTGTCGCGCGACACGAGCGGCTGCGTCGACGCCGACTGAAAGACAGTCCCTCACATCCCGAACGTACTGACTCCTGCGCCGTTACGGCCAATTCTCACTGTCAGACTGCCCCGATATGTATGTTTGCACATCGTTTGGTACTTACTTCTTGTCGCCCCTATAGAAATCCGTGCTGTGACAGTGACTACTTCCCGCTCCTGAAGATTGCGTCATTGTTGATTGTACGTTTTCTTAACTCATGATGCTTACCAATCCGTTTTTCTGTAGAACCAG